CTCGTCTAGCCAGATGCGTTTTTCATCGTTGGTGCCTGCGGCGGTAGCCAGCGTTTTGTTTATTTTCTAATCGGTGTCTAGGTGCAGTTTGCGCGGCTCGGTTTTACAGCGTCGCGGTATGCATCCTATTCGAACAAGGAAACTTTGATGAAGAGCATGCCAACCGCGCGAGAGTTTCTCGTCTGGCAGCGGCCGCCTTGGTTTCGTCCATGCTTGTCTGCCCACAAACATTCATGTTCCTCGTTCTTCACGACAGCTATTTGTAGCCAGCCTCACGCGACATTCATGCGCGTATCCGCCATTCGTTCCTCCCCTTGCCTTCCCACGTGACGGTATTTTAACCCAGAAAACTAGCGGGTATCGAGGCAGAGGCACGCGCCATGGGCGCCACCGTCCCGCCGCCCCCGAACCCGGTCGTGCTCGCCAGGTTGGAGGGTGGAGGACGAGGAAGCAGTGGCGGCAGGTGAGGGTCGGAAGCGCAGCTTAGGCTTAAGCGGGTCACGTTTTGCCACAAGTCACGCGTGCTGTGGGGGTTGGGAGCGTGCTTGCGTAGGTCGATGGGGTGTGGGGTGTGGGGTGTGGGATGCGAGCGGGGGCTCACGCGAAGCCGGTTTTCGAGGCAAGCGATTGGTTGGGCTTTCGGTGTCGGGCGAGCGTTGGCCGGGGTTATTCTATACGTCCTACGGTGAAAGTGGTGTTCGAAAAGGACACATACGCAAGAGTCCGCGCACACACCCTCTTCGTCGTTTAGTGTAATCTCTCAATGGCTGAAGTCGGTTCGACATGACTCTTGCTCTCCTTCCTAGAAGCATGCACCCATGATGCATGCCAGCGAGGTGGCACCGATGACCGCCCCCATGTGCCGCGCGCTTGCCGTGACGTTGTACTCCCCCGATCGACAGAGGAAGAGGCAGAGGTGCGGCTGTGGCATCAGCAGGTGGGCGTGGCGGCGGCGGCGGCGGCGAGGGGCGTGTGCCTCGCTCGCTCGACAATCGACCCACCACTGTCAAGGTGTCCGGGTTGCCGGACAGTGCAGGGGAGGGTGACCTTCGAGTGCACGCCAACATGGCGGGTGTGGTGGTAGCGGCGGCAATGCTTGACCGTCCTGGCGAGGGCGTCGTCAAGTTTGCGGAGAGATGGTGAGCTAGTTACGTGCACACGCACATGCATGTGTGCGCGTGGGGCAGCAGTAGTGACTCGTCCTGCGGTCGTGTGTTGCTGTGCGAGGGGTATGGCTTTCAATGGCGAATGTGTCCATGTTCTCAGTCTCCTCTCATCACTTGTGTGCTCGTGATTGGCAGTGCAGTGAAAACCTTCGAACGACATCGGCATCATTTTATTTTCGACCGTTTTTTTTACTAGTATCGCCGCCGCGAACGCTCTCAAGCAGATGTTGCCTTTTGGTCGCCCGCAAGCTCAACGATGCCCCTAAACCCGGTCCCACCCTGTACTTTGCCGTATCATGCTCGGGAACTTCAGGGCGGCAGAAATGTTCATGTCCAAGAGCAAATCCTTCGGCGGGATCCCGCTCACCATGTCTTGGTATACGGGACCGTTCCCAGGATCGGCCCCGGCATCGTCCCAACCTCCCAGGAGACCCCATCAGGGACCAGAGACCTTTCAGCAAGCCGCTCCCGTCATCAGTGACGTGTCTGGCGACAGCATAGAGCTCAAGCTAGCTCCCGTCCAACAAGGGTTGGGCATGGGGGGTCCGCGAGGTGGCGGCGGCGGCTGGGGTGACGACTTCGGCAAGGAGGAGGGTGTTGGTTGGCGGGGCGACGTGTGGGGAAAGCGGAAGAACAACGGAGGTATGCATACATTAATTACCTAACCCTGTAGAAGCCTTTTTTTGGTGAGGTTGGCATTTTTGCTGTTTGCCCATCCCGGTTGCGGCGTGAGATATGGAAGCATGCCATCGCAGACAAAAAAACGTGACGCTGTTTCATTAGTCCTCGTGGCATTAGCTGGGGCATGAATATCGTTCCCATAGTATGTGGGTTCCTCCTCTTTTGGGCCATCATTCAGTGAACTTCGACGCACCGGATAGGCGGGGCTAGCCCGCTGCTCTCTCCCCCCCCTCTCCCCGCTCCTTCTCACGGGCACCCGCTGACGTTTATTGTCGCCTTGCTGTCTTCCGTCACCGTCGATCGGCTTCCTTTCCCTCCCCGTTTTTTGTCTTTGCAGGGAGTGGCAACGGGAGCGTCGGCAGCTCGCCGCTTCACCTTCCCAGCGTAGAGGCGGGCGATGATGACGACGAGCTCTATCAAGACATGGGTTCGTGACGAATCACGGGTTCAAGTGTCATCGCAAGAGGCCGAGAGGTTAGGATTGTTTACTTTGGCTTTATTTAAGGGTATCGCCATCACTCGCCCACTACGGTGTTTGGCGTCGGCGAACACCCATTCTGGGTGTGTGAGTATAGGGGTTACACTCGAATGTGCGTTTGGAGAAGGTTCGTAGTGTCATCCGTTGCTTTAATTTAGTTTCCTATGGTGTGTGGCGCTGCCATGCGTTCGTGTGATTTTACTCGAGGGGGGCGAGCCGGCCGGAGGGGGGGGAGGGGACACCTGTCTTGTGGGTATGTTTTGTTGTGTATCTCATTCAGTGCGCGAGCCGCTCAATACTTATTCATCCCTCTCGGTGACGTCAGAAACAGTCATTGCAGAACGCCAACCATACAGGACGTTCAATTTTTGCAAGCGGCACGTTCCAGCTTGCTAATAATATTTATTGTGCGCGTGCCGTGCCCTCCGAACGCGACGAAAGAAACATGAGCGGCACCTGCTCTCTTCAACTCACACCCATGCCTCGAAATCGGGCTTGGATCTCTTGCCAACGCATCCATTCCATTCGAAACCTAGTTTGGCTTGACGTATTTCGAAAGAAAGGACGGCCTTGCGCGCGACGTGGTCCAGGTTGTGACGTCACGCCTGCCTTTCCATGTTGCGTCTCTGTCGTTACCGTCGTGTTCGCGGATATATTATCCCAGCGACTGAACGAATGTAGGTTGCCAAGTATCTACCTGGTACTTTGCAGGAATCTCTTGTGTTGCTTTGATCCTCGAAATATAGAGTGGTGTATTGTGTGTGTATGTGTGTGTTTTTTAGTGCATGAGAAGAAAGAGAAGTACAACCACCCCCCCCATCGTTCGGTGCAAGGAAACCTTGTGTAAAAGCAACGTCGTTTCAGTTTTGGCTGTTTCTTGACTAACAACCTTGATCAGGACTAGCTGCCAAGATATTTGATTGGCGGTCCACTGCTGTGGTGTGAATGCCCGATTTGAGGTTTGCTTGTTAATTTTGTGGCCGGTTTGTCGCCCCCCGCTGCCGTTCCGTACTTTTGTGCAAATATCGTGCGTGTAGGAATCGTATGGTAGGCGGTCGTTGTTGCACGATGAAATGAGTAGCCTACGCGCATGAATATATCGTAGGTTTTTCATTTTAGGATATAGGTCAGAGATGACAAAACTTTTACGCTCTGTCGTGAGGGAATCGCGCTAGGTAGGGTAGTGGTAGGTGTGCCAGGAGGAACAAAAGTTCTGCGACATGCGCCTCGACGTGCTCTATGTTGCAATGCGGGAGTGACACTAGTGGAAGGGCACGACTCGTGCAGGAAAACCCGGGATCGGGAGGCACAGGAACTCTATCTAGCTGGTTTATACATGTATCACGTTCGTTTTTAATGGCAGTTTGTTTCAAGTGCACATACATACGCTTACGTCTCTCCTGATAACCGCAGTACGGGTGGGCACCTCGGCCACAATATCTGTAACAACTACGACGAGCTACACCCTTACAGAAAAGTTTACGAAGTCATTTATATGCTTAGAGGGTATTATGTTGTGCTTTTGATTTGGTATTTGTAGAGACTTGAAGAGATTGTTTGGCTCACGTTTGGAACGTCTGGCAACTATTGTTTATTTTTCAGACGGCGATAGGTCGCGCGAAGGACGCGGTAAGGACATGCACCCACCCTCATGATTATTGTTGTTTACAGTTTTTGTTTTGGTAGACAAGCTCGATGTCGAGCTCGGTTTATTGTGCCTTGTTCTGTTGGGGGAAGTTTTCGTTTCGCACGCCCAACTTGGTGTTTGCCGTATCCCCCGTACAGCAATATTTAGAATTTCGACGATTCTCTGCAACAACGTTTGTTGTGTTTGTTCGTGTTCTCTGTTGGCGTTGTTTTATTTAGACTGCCCGTAATGTGTTCGTGACAGCAGTACAGTAGCCCTTCTTTACGTGTACCGCACATATGACCCGGTTGGTTGTTCGGGATTCTTTTCGTTTTTGGTGCAAGTCGTCTCAAGTCTTTGTCGGAAGCGATGATGTTCGTCATCCGCGCGTAACTTGTTGTGACGACGGGGAACTTGACGTTCGTTGTCATGCCGCGACCGGCGTGTTACTCGGAGTGGAGATGGATGCGTCGTCAGTATAGCATCGTACAGTAGGTATGCCGCCTTGATTCGTCGCCCGTTGCATGCTCGGGCTCTTTCGGGATTTGTCTGGTGTTTGGCTTTTTGGTTTTGACTGCATCGGAGTCAGTCCTGGTGTTTTGTGTGAAAACTAGACCTGATTTGTGTTTGTTGCGCCAACCTTGTGTCTTGTATGCCCTGTACAAAACCCGTCGTCTTCTTTTCGTTCATTTCCTTGTTTTCCTTTTTTAGCAGATTGCCTCACTCCAGCTGCTTTCATCTACCGCGGACGGTGATGATGGTAGATGGCATCCCTTGCCGGGGGTTGAGGGCTTCAAGCCGCGGTGTTGCCTTTGCACGTTGCTGTGTCAGCAAGCCGCTGGGCTGGTGTCGTGCGTTGCACTACAGCACGCGAACGTTGTTGGTGGGGCAGAGAGAGGCGCTAGCGACCACTTCGGGGGGAGGAGACGACATCTGAGGAGGAGAAAAAAAAAAATGAACCTAATTGCCTCTTGAAAAGGTGCCCATGTACGGCACACTCACCTCTAAGAACCTGCGTGCATACCCTGATGGCATCGGCCATACTTCCAAGGGACGCACGGTGACCTGCGAAGGCACGACAGCACGGCGATGTGCGCCTCTGACACGTCACCGAAAATCGGCTGGACCATATGCTCAAACATGATGTGCAATTTTTGTTGTTCATTGCATGTTTGTACACGCGTTTTTTTGTTCAGTTTCCAAAACTTATTTCCCGGCGGCAGTGTTGGTGAGTCAACACTTGACACCGACGCCGTCTCAGCTGCATAACCGCGCTGGTATTCGACCCATGAACACTCTACCGACGTAAAAACTACCGCTGTTGACAAAACTACAATACCGGACTATACCCTCTTTTGTCCTCTCCCTGTCGAAAAACCCACGTCCAACACGGCGCCCAAAGCGGTCATGCCCCCCTGCCCCCCTGCACATCCGACATCTTCCTCGGCGGAGCGAGCGTACGGGAGGGGGGTGCTTTTCGGACGAGAAATGTACATGGAACACCCCGCACTTCCTCCCGTTCGACTCCAAGCCGCCTCTTCCCGAACACAAATGTTCCAAGATACGTGCCGGCTCCAAGTCCGTCCTACCCTACAAGAATGCTGCACAAAAATCGTGCTCCTCAGATCTCCGCCACCCCCCCGCTGCCCTCCGCCAAGAATGAGTCGCGGGAAATCAATGCTAATATATGTTATACCACACGACATCACTCACTCAAAATCATCTCATTGTTGTTTCTCGGATAAAACCATATTTGAGTGCCCTCCTTTCGGAACGAGCGCGCTGTCTCTCTTGTACCGGTTCACGGCACATGCTCTAAGCAGCAGCAGCAGCAGCAACCCCAACGATTGCACAACTCCAACCAGAACAAGCTGCAGTCAGTAAGTCAGTCAGGCTTACACCGGCGGTGAGATCCAGCGCCGACCCGTCTCTCGCTGAGACGTACAAAACCTGCTCACGAGATTGAAAGCACGAGGTCTTGGTGCATGCGGCCGCCGCACGCCAACCGAAGGTCTACCAAAGGCCGAGGCGATGCAAGGGGATGACCTCCTCTGACGGCGCCCGCGAGCGCGTGTTTTCGTTTTCGGTGGTCAGTCGCTCTCCTCGTCGCTTTCCTCCTCCTCCTCTTCTTCTTCGGAGGCGGGCTCGGCAGCCTTCTTCGCGTTGTACGCCGCCATCTCCTTCTGGTACCTCGCCTTGTCCTTGTCTGCCTTCTTCTGGAAGGGCGCTTTGTCGTTGTCGTCCATCTCTCTCCATCGCGCCCCGAGCAGCTTGCTGATCTCCGTCACCTTCATGTCGGGGTTTTCCTCCTTAACCTGTCACGTGGGCGGCGAACAATATCACACCGTGTTGGTGACCAACAGGTGGTGAGAGCAATAGGGCGTTCTCTCTCCCTTGCGAGTGCGGGGTCGTCGTGGTGTCGTAACTTCACACATGATCAAAGGGGCCTGTGTATGCGGGGCTTGTGTTTGTTTGGAACCCAGACAGCTCTCTGGAACCCTTCCTAGCCCTCCTGAGACTAGCTTGATCGGCGGGGGCACGAGAGCATCCAAGGCTGTCCGAATACCTTCGCATAAATGTTCCGATCACGGAAGATGGACACTACAATAAGCGGTAAGGGGCAACACAGGGCATCGGATGAACGATACGGCCGCCCGCCCGTGTCACAAGGCTGGATGGACCAATCGTGATGGGTGAATATGCTCAGGTAATATTTCTGGCCGTCTCAAAACTGAACAGCTGGCAAGACTCAACTAAACAAGGTGGATTTCACGTGCTATACTCCCCATCATGGACAAGACAAACCTTCGACACCTCTCACCATGCATGCTTTATATGTGCGCGTTGTGTGCTAGTGCGCCATAAACGACAAAAAAATATGAGCATCGCCGGAAAAAAAAGTATATATCATTGATCTTCCCTATTAAGTGGATCGGGGAGGGGGGGGGGAGCGTACTCTTATGTTTTGCATGCCTTAGCTAGCGGTTAGACCATTGGCCACGCGTCCTCGAGAGGACGGAGCATTGTTCCCACAGGACCGATCACCGATGGCCAATCGTTCCTTCCTACTTTGCCAAAGGTGGCTCAAAAATGTCTTCCCTAGTCTGTCTATCCTAACGATATCCCTTCCCGCCTTTTCAACCCACCTCCTATGCCCCAGTACAGCTACCGTCCTTTCCTCTCTATTCCATGCCTCAAACATCTCCCTGTACGTTCATCTATTTTACCCAGCTCAAGTCACGTACACTTCCCTCTCCTTCTTGTACAACGGACATTCCGCGACTACATGAACACGGTCTTCGCATTCGAAGCCGCAATCACATTTGAACTCGTCGTCTTCCTCGTCTACCGTCCTATGTCTTCGTCGACGTTCTCGAAGGCCTATGTCCCCGGTCCTGAATTTGACCTTAAGCTTTGTTCCTGCATCCATTGGTCCACGTAAGTAATCCTTGGACCCTATTCCTTCCTTCAAATTCAACATTCCGTACATTTCTAGACCCTCCGTATCCTTGGTTTCTTTCTTTAGATTCTGTTCTCTCTCGGCACAAGCAACAAATATCTTCTCCTTGAACCCCTGTAGACCCTCCGTTTCCAGCGTTTCATCTTCGTCGATGTCGAGCCCCTTCCATACGTCCTCTACAACCTTGACCCATTCCGTGGGTTGTCTACCCCTCTTTTTGTTTGCCCACTTCGCCTCCCATCATTTTTCTCGGCAACCTCTCCTTTCCCATCCCGCACATGCGATACTGCCATGTGAGCTTCCTTGCGTTTCTTCCCGACCGTAGGGACTGGATCCCAAACTCTCCCCTGACGGCTGCATTACTTGTGCGCTTGGAGTATCCTAGGGAGGGGGGGGGGGGGGGGGG